CAGGCACTGCAGGGGGCAGCCCTGGGCCTCGGCCGTGAGGACCCATCAGACAGGCGCCTGCAGCTGCAGATCGGCTGAGAGAGGAGACTCTGTATGCGGTGGCGGCGGTGGCTGGATCTGCCAGCAGCGACCCCACCTTATGCGGCGCCCGTGACGGGCCCCCTGAAGGCCGCGGGCCCTCGGGCAGTGCCCGACGGACCGAATGGTCAGTCCGCCCCTGGTTCTCTCTATCCGACATCCTCACGGAAATCCGCATGCGCACCCTTGACTACTTTCAGCTCAACGGGGGGACTGTCCCTTCTGAATCGACCGTCTGGGAAGCCTATAAGTCGGTCACCTGATTCAAATAGCATCTAAATGAAAACGGGATCGCAACCAGCACATCCAGAGTCTCGAAGCGGAACTGGACCAGATGTCTCAGGCCTTTAAGTCCAACCCCACGACCGCTAACCGTACTTTGCTGGCGTCGACGCGGGCTGCACTCGACCTTTGCCTCACGCATAGGGCTGAACGTGCCCTTCGCTGGACGAAACAGAAGTTCTACGCGAAGGGCAACAAACCCGACTCTATGCTAGCTAAACGTCTGCGGACGTTCGATAGTGTCCTGACCCCAATCTCCCTCCGCACCATGTTGGCCACCCGCACCACTGACCCAACAAAAATTTTATCAGAATTCCGCCATCACCTCTCCAAGATTTACTCGACCCCTTCCGCCTGCTCACTCGATACTATCCGCAAATTTCTTTCCCGGATTACCCTTCCAGATATCCCACAAGCCGGTAGGAACCTCATGGAGTCGGAGATCTCTGCCATCGAAGTCCAGCAGCCATTTAGTCCTTCAAAACGGGTAAACGCCTGGGCCCAGATAGATTCCCCGCCCTTTTCTATAAAAAATGATCTGACGACCTATCCCCCCACCTGGCCTCCCTCTTTAATGGTCTCCTGAAGGGTGACTCCATGTCCCCACACATGCTCACAGCTAACGTTGTAATGATACCTAAGCCAGATAGAGATTCTCACTCTAATTACCGCCCCATTTCCTTAATAAAATGTGGACGTTAAGATCCTTTCTAAAATTCTCACTTCCCGCCTTAACCAATTTTTAGGGTCCCTCATCAAAAAAGATCAGGTAGGTTTCATGCCATCCAGACAGGCCGGGGATGGGGTCCGGCGGGCCCTGCACCTGATGCATTTAGCCAAATCGCGCTCCAGAGAAATGATGTTGCTGTCCTTGGACATTTCCAAGGCCTTCGACATGCTCTCTTGGCCGTATCTCTTTGAAGTTCTCCGCCACTGGGGCTTCGGCTCCCACTTTATATCCTGGATCGCGGCCCTATACGCCTCGCCCCAGGCCAAGCTTAAATACTGTGGCTTTGAATCTTCTCTGTTCCCGATAGCGCGTGGCACCTGCCAAGGTTGTCCCCTGTCACCCGTCCTTTTTGCCCTTGCCCTCGAACCCCTGGCGGAATACATTAGGTCTAACCCCGATATTCGGGGAATTGAGGTGGCGGGTACTCACCACAAAATATCCCTCTTCGCTGACGACGTCCTCCTGTCCTCGACTAACCCCCTTCTCTCCCTCCCGAACCTCGCACTTCTCTCGGACTTACGGGTCAACCAATCCAAATCCCAAGCTCTTGCTGTCTCCTTGACGCCTGCAACGCTAGCCACACTCAAGCTCTCCTTCCCGTTTACATGGGCCCCCTCTCTTAAATACCTGGGCATCCGCCTGACCCCGACAACAGAGATTTCCATTTCTTGGATAGGGAGGATCCATGCCGTGAAGATGACCTTCTTGCCTAAGTTGCTTTACGTGTTCCGGGCCCTGCCAATCCCCATCCCCGGCCATATCTTTTGCATTCTCCAACGCAGGGTACTCGCATTCATCTGGGGCAACTCTCGACCCATTATCAACCAAAAACTGCTCTACCGCTCTAAACCCTGTGGAGGTCTTGCAGTCCCAAACCTTAGAGCGTACTACACGGCTGCCACCATTGCCCCTCACCTGGCCCTTCCTATTGTATTATAGTGGGGAGACAAGAAAGTTGAGTTGAATGCCATCCTGGACTCTGGCGCCAGCAACTGTTTTCTGGACAACACTCTCGTCTCCAACCTGGGCATCCCTACACAACCCAAGAAACTTGGAAGACAGGTCCAGTAACACTGGAATCCCAACCCATCACACTACGGGTAGGCGAGAGACACATTGAACAAATTATCTGGGACATTGTTCCCTCGCCCATGTTTCCTGTGATCTTAGGCATCACTTGGTTAAAGACCAATAATCCTTCAGTCAACTGGTCCACTGGAATGATTACCATCTCTTCTTCATATTGTAGGGATGTCTGTCTACACCACACTGGGCCTCTAAAGACACTCCTCGCTTCTGCTACTTTACTAATCTTACCACAAAAATATCACCAGTTCGCTGATGTCTTCGAAAAGAAGGGGGCTGACAAACTACCCCCTAGTAGATCCTATGATCCATAGACTTGCTTCCGGGTGCTCCTATCCCACATTCCATTTTTGTCTTCCCTAGTGGAGTACCCATTAATGTGTATTCTGATTGCCTATTTTTAACCCCAAAATGCAATACTTTACATTTTTCAACATTAAACCTGCCATATAGTTGCCCACTCCACTATTTTATTCAGGTCCTCCATTAATGTTATAATGACTAAGCCCATGTCTATTACCCTCCCAATTTTAGTTTCATCTGCAAACAAAGAAATGTGACTATTTACACCTTCCCGAATATCGTTAATAAACAGGTTAAACAGTATGGGGCCCAGCACAGAATCCTGGGGAACGCCACTCCTGACCTTAGACCAGTGGTTCTCAACCTGTGGGTCGCGACCCAAAAGTGGATCACAACCTGCTGTTGAGGGGGGTCACCACATGCTTTGTGCTGCACTAGGTGAGAGGCTCCTCAGCCACCTCCTAGAGCAGCAGTGTCAGTTCTCCGGGCGCGCCGCTAGATGGCGCTGCAGCACTGGCAGCCAAGGGGGATCAAAGAGAGGGGAGCGGGCAAAAGTGAGGGGAGTTGAATGCCGGCTTGACCACCAGAGAGCCCACACTGGCCGCCAGAGAGCCCCATTGAGCTCACATGAGCCCACACTGGCCACCTGAGAGCGCACACAGATACTAGTATTGGTGCATTCCTAAATTTTACCATTGGTGGGTCACCACAAATGTTACCAAGGGGTCCCTGCCCTAGAAAGGTTGAGAACCACTGCCTTAGACCAATCTGAAAAAGAGCCATTTTTCAAGACTCTCTTAACACGTTCCTGTAGCCATTTCTTTATCTATGTACACACCATTTCATCGATTTCAGCTTGACTATTAAGCATTTTTGTGGTACCGTGTCAAAAGCTTTTGCAAAACTCAGGTACACCACATCCACTGGCCTTCCTCTATCCAGATCTCTACTCACCTCTTTGTAGAATGTTAGTAGGCTGGTCTGACAAGAACAGTCCTTCCTAAATCCATGCTGATTACCACTTATTATAACTTTGTCACGAACAAAATCCACTAAAGAGTCCTTTATCACTCCCTCAAACAGTTTGCATACTATTGATGTTAGACTGACTGGTCTGCAGTTCCCCGGTTGGCATTTTGAATATTGGTAGTACTGTAGCTTTACGACAATCACTTGGTTCCCTTCCAGTCAGTATGGAATCCTTGAAAATGAGCTATAACCTGGCTGAGCTCTTTAAGTACTCTAGGGCGAAGGTTATCTGGTCCTAACGATTTATTTTTTAATAAAATCGTTATTAGTTTTTCAAGTCTTTGTTGAACCCCGGCAAAGTTGAATGTTTCCCAATTCCTTAAGATACAAAATTGTGAATGGGATTTAAAGAAAGATCTGACTGAGCTGGAACTTGAGAGCCAACACGCAAATACATTATTCGGAATTTGTTGTGTTTATTGATACTTTGATGAAAATGCTAAATTTTCAAATATGCAGTAAGGGCT